AATGTTTCTGTTTATGATAACAACTTGAATTAACCATACACATCTTGTAAGTGTTATATGTAAAGTAAACAAATTAATGTAACCTATATCTATATATCTATATATATATATACTTTATATACTTTACAAAATAAAAAGATTTTTATTTTCTAAATATCTTCATTCAGATTCAGATAGAAGAATTATGTTTTAATTCTATCCGACAGCTCAGAGGTTAAACTCGAAATACCTTTTGCAAAATATTATTTTTTTTAAATTCAAAAAAATTAAATGAAGTGTTCGCGAAAAATGAAAGGGGCTATAGACTTGCGGCGAAAATTAAGCGCTTTTGATTGCTACTAATATTACTTCTATCTGTTGCGTCTATAAAGAGAAAATTGTTAAAAACGACCAATACCGAAGCACTTAGTGTCCATACAAATTCAGAAAGATGCAACATTCAACTCGGATCGTAAACAAACCAATTGAATTCCAAACAAGTCATTCAGTCATTTTTAACAATTTTCTCCTTATAAACGCAACAGATAGAAGTAAGATAAGCAGCGATCAAAAGCACTTTTTTATCGCAGTAAGCCTATATCCCCTTTCATTTTTCGCGAACACTCCCTTTAAAAATTACATTTATTTCAAAAATTTACAAAGAAGGGGGGGGGTATTTAATATTTAGATTGCATAATATTGCTAAACATAATTATGCCTGGTGAAGGACAAGACCAATTTTACGCCAATGTAACCGCAATCCCTGAATATGCAGCGTTACGTTGCAATTTATTGCTTTTTTGTCCCAATATTGGAAAAAAAGGGAATTGACGGGACTGTTCACTATAGTTTCAGTAGAAGTAAATATTTCCATTTACTGATAGCGCTGATTGAAGGATTCATAACTCTGATTGGATAATGAGATAGATAGAAAGATATATGTTACCGCCATACTATTGGTTCAGAATAGACAACAAACACATGACTAAACCCTGATTGGATCAGGCGCTAATGAACTTTGCATACAGGAGTGCATGTTTCGAAAATTAAATTGTAACCAAAGAAAACATTGTCTTTAAGGAAAAACTAAATGTGTTTATTTTTTGTTAAAAAAGATAAACGTTTTAAAATGTATTGTTTTAGTATATTTGCCCTTTTTTTAAACATAAATGTTCTTTTTTAGATTTAAAGTTATCATAATTTCTGATATCTTAAATATTTAATCACAGTTATATTCAAATTAATACAAAGCACATCTTTATATGATATATTGAATATTGGATATGCATTGGTTTTTAATACATAATAAATATTCAAACAGAACACAAGGTTTGACACTGGGTTACAAATATGTAGGGATTTAAAAATCAGAATTTATGGCAAAGACTCAACTCCTTTATAAATTTTTAAAGATATCTTTAAAATTGAATTGTTTGTCTCTGAGAAAATGCGGAGAAATTACAAATCTAACATGATGCTTAGAAATTTAATATTCAACCAGCTATGAAGAAATATTTAACCGAAATTAATTTTTATGAGAAATCATGAAAATTAAATTTGGTTTTATTTACAAGAAGGGGGGGTCACGACTAATCAGTCTTTATCACTAAATTAATTAAAAACGGCACCATTAACAAAATCAAAATATACTATGTTGGTCACCCTGTTTGTTTAATGTTAATGTTTTAATTGATTAAACTTTTAAACTTCAGGGTTTGATTTGCTCTTTGCAGTTGGAAATCAAGTTACTCATTCCATAATTGCATTTGCAAAATTAAATGTTATCAGACCATTTACATCAAATACTTTTTATTCGCGGATTGCAAGGATAAAACTTTTCTGCATTTAACATTAATTAAAAATATTTTCGCAAGTTTAAAATTTTCTATCAAACGATCAAGTTAAAATCATAAATCATGACTAATACAGGGTTACTCACAAATGATGAGACTGTAAAGACGACCTGAAACCTATATAATATGACGATCCCAAGTGTAAATTAAGTCTTTTGCCTTGAATGTAGTCTAATACTGTCTTATTTAATTATTTAGCAAAGAAAGAAAGAAAAAGTTAATGGTTGCAAACTTGCAGGGAATCATGAATATAAGGAAACAGACAATATTAATTCCGTACAGTCGTCTCTGAAGTCTCATCATTTGTGGGATACCTGTATATCGATTAAAAATCTGTATCTAACACCTATCATAGAATTGAGCAGAGTTCAGTGTCCAAAAAATATTGGTTTCGACAAAATTTGTTTTTTCAAAATTATCAGAATCGGGTACATATTCTCAGCAATAGGTTTAGAAAACGACATTTTATAAATTCTTTGTGTCTCCAAAGTTCTATGTTAAACTGTAGTTGCTATCTTTAAGAAGAAGGAAAACGGAGGATAAAAATATATATACAAAGGTTGAGTAAAATTATTCAAGGAATCGTGTAAACTGTAGAGAGGGACTTTGTCTAGTATTCGCCTAAAGCTCTAGTATTCAAATATGCTAAAACAAAGTTTTAGTACTGTGAACTGATTAATCTAAATGAGGGGCCAAATTAATTGAATGGGAGAAGTAGTTGAACTAGGTAGACTAAATTGAACCATTTCTCTTTAGCTCTACCGGGCACACACAAGAAGGGGGTAACTTTATTCACACATAGTTGAACCAAGATCGCAATACAACCTTTATCTTAGAAACAATGTAGAAGATATCGTCTTTTTTATATCCCCAATTGAAAATAATCAAAATTTATTAATTAATTTGATTAGGCCAAAGTTTATAAACTACCTGTTGTGAACGGGACAAACCTTTCTCTAAAAATGTAAGGTCCGTTAACATTTCGTCCTAAGACCTTTTGAAGAGAAAAAATACGGTCATGCCAGTTTTATTTTTTTGGGAGACAGAGGGAGGCATTATTTTTATTTAATTTCCTGTCAGCTCTTTAATTGAAAAAAGAATAAAGTTTTAGACCCGGGCAAAGAGAGATAGGAAGCAATAAAAAGCTTACACGGTGTTTAACTTCAAATAAAGTGGGACAATTTACGGTCCATATCGGTTACTCCAGGAAACGTAAAATTAACTAAATATTTTAACCAAAGAGAATAGAATATATATTAGAGGGGAATTTACTAGAAAAAAGTGTAAAACAGCCATTTTGTTGTACTGTTTCCATACTACAGGTGTACTTCACATATTTGTGCTATATAACCTTTTGGGCCCTGGAATATCATTATATAGAAAATCTAAAATTAATATTAAAAGAAAACCAAATTATGAAATAGGCTGGTTTCATAATTGACCAATGATCATTTCACATAGACTCTATGCCTTCCACTTTACAAACGATGATTTTCCGTTATAACTATAAATTAAATGATGTTTTTTTTCACCTAATTCATTTTATAAAGTTTATTTAACAGCTTTAAAAAATTCGAAATTGAAATGGATAGTCTAGGGAACATACTGTATAAATGTACTCTTCTGCATACAATTTGTGAACATTTACATGATTTGTACACTTTGAACTCCCTTTCAGGCTGCAAGGGACTGACAAAAATCATACCACGGTTCGGAAAAGTTTAATACATTTTCAACACTCGGTTGACATTAAAGTGTCTCAACACCTTGGACTTAAATTTTACTTTTATGTAGCCCTAATACACATGTACTTTTTTGTAGCCCTTTTTTGTGGCCCTAATACACATGTACGTTTTTGTAGCCCTAATACACATGTGCGTTTTTGTAGCCCTAATACACATGTACGTTTTCGTAGCAATAATACACATGTACGTTTTTGTAGCCCTAATAAACATGTACGTTTTTGTAGCCCTAATATACATGTACTTTTTTGTAGCCCTAATACACATGTACGTTTTTGTAGCCCTAATTCACATGTACGTTTTTGTGGCCCTAATACACATGTACGTTTTCGTAGCAATAATACACATGTACGTTTTTGTAGCCCTAATACACACGTACGTTTTTGTAGCCCTAATACACATGTACATTTTTGTAGCCCAAATAAACATGTACGTTTTTGTAGCCCTAATACACATGTACTTTTTTGTAGCCCTAAAGAAAAGATTTTCCAACGAATATGATTTTACAAACTTGGAATTCATCTAGAAAACTTGGAAATAGAAAATTACCGCGCATTTTTCAACGAGTTCGCCGAATTGAAAATTTGCATATTTTTGCAAATTATCTGTAAAATAGCTAGCTTAAACCCCGCAAAATTACATAGGAATTATACAGGAAGCGATTTTGTTTCACATTTCACATTATATGTTCACCTCTTATGCATAAACAATACCTTATAGAGAGGAGCTGGTAATGTTGGAGGAGGGAGGGAGGGGGGGGGGTTTATTAAAAAAGTTTGTGTGTACAAATGAAGTTAACAAAGACATCAAATCCGAACTTTTTAAAACTAGAATTTTCCTTCAAAAATCATTAATTCAATTGTTAAAATTATTCAATTAAAAGATTTTTTCAAATTATGTTTTGTATTTTACATTTTTTAAATATTCACAAATAAAATAGAAGATTAGAGCTAAGCGCTCAGAACGCCGAGTTTTGAATAAAAGAATATTTTCTGAAATATGGCAAATTTGCAGTTGGTTAATGGTTAAAAAAAAGTGGTGAAAAAACCTAAACCTGAAATGTCAGATATGACAGATATTACTGTAAAGAAAAAAACTGTTTAATATTGGGATAAAGCATATTTTTTTTCTCGATTAAATTATTTATTAACGAACAATAGCTTATGGTAAATACAATGTGAAATTTATAAGGCGCGCTTGGAAAGCAAACTTTGGGTTTAAAACACGGTTTTGGATAATTTGAAGTACTAAATTTGCGGCTCAGGATTAATTTTAATAATATCATTCCATATTTTGACAAGACCAATAAATCCTCCGGTTAAAGTACAATGTATTTATTCTCGACGCAACTAAGTGTTAGAGTGATTATATTTTTAAAAACTAGTAGATATGTGTGAAGTGATTGACATTTAAAATACTTTATTACCGTTTGGGTTCTGAGCGATTCTACGTTCCGCCGTGGGTTGCTGGGCGATACTTCCGGTTAAAAACAACAACAGACAGTGCAGTACAGTACCCATTGTGTACACACAATGCTTAAAGAGGGGTTTCTACATTTGTGTAGAATTTTTGATGTTCCTTTATTTTCACAATTCACATATCACTTAAGAAAAATAAGCCAAAAATATCTGAAAAATATATAAAGAAATTTGCCTTAAAAGTATGTTTGAATATTAGATTTAATGCTGATTAAGATCAAGATGGAGGAATGCGCGAAAGTATTTAGGTCACGTGTTCACAGGTTCAAGTTCAACCAAGCACTGATACAAACTATACTCACAGGGTCGCATCTCAAACCAATAGAAAGGGGGGATGAGCTGGGGGATGGGGGGTGGGAGTGAGGAATATAATTATATTAATTAGTATTTAACACGAATTAAAAATATAAAATAAAAAAATAATTCCTACCCCCTTAAAAATGGTTTGCATAAAAAGGACCCCTGTTAAGTTTACCCCTATGCAGTTCACGGATTTTTATAGTTCTGAGTATAGAGGAGAGGTAAAGGATGCTGAATCAGATCCAGGACTCTTAGTTCCTACACGTTCAACTTTTGTACTATTTAGTCCTATAAAAGTACATACAGATCGTTGTACCGTATCTATATCACTAGATGCATCCTGTACATTAGAATTGCTCTTATTTGCACTTTTGGAATGTTTACGTAACCCATTTCCAACTGTACAGTTTACATTGTAACAGTACTCCTGCACATACGCATATGTACAAGTTTCAACTGTTAATTTGTGCGCATGTACTTCTGTACAATTCAAGTGATTTTGTACCATGCTTAGCCAGGGGCGTAGTGGGGGGCGGTACCCCTGTTCACCCCCTATACATGCACTCCTAGGCCCCTAGAGCCAGAGGTAGGCTCTAATATATTAAACTTACATATTAAGATTTTGTCTTTTCTTATCAATTGACTTTTGACAATGTCACAATTTGTCTATTTTATGATAATTTCTCAAATTCTTTCTTGTACCTTAATTTTATTTACAATATTTTTTTCGCGGGGATTCATTTAAAATCCATTTCATTCTCTCTGTGGGGAGCGGGAGGCTGTGCAACCTGGCCAGGCTACACTTAAACATACACTCCGACATCTTGGACCAGGTTTCAAATGAGGAAATATTAAAAATATTTGTTACAAACAAACCAAGACTTCTTGAATTTGGAGGCAACGTATTATTAAAGCTTTTTATTATTTTTGTTAATTCTAAGGCTATATCATTTTAATGGCATGCTATTTTTAACCCGTTTTTAATGGTTCAAAACAGCTGCATGTTTCCATAACTTTTCTCTCACAAAGCGGTACAAAATACAGATTTAGGTATCGTTAAAAGCTTTAAAAAATACTGTCTTCAGTGTAATCTAATAATAATATTATTGATATTAATATGATTTATGATATGAAGGGGGGGGGGACATGATACCCCTAGGTAGCTATGATCTCAGCGATCTAAAAAATCCCTTGAATCGCTGATCGTAAAAGATCAACAAAATCATACATTGTTACAATACTTTAAAAAATTTATTTTTGCTCTTTTACTACTAGATTTTATAATGGTATGATTGGTAATTATGATCAGATGACTAATAGTCAAGTAGATTAATATAGATTTTAAACTTTAATTATTTTTCTTAATACGGTTTTTATAGAGGGGTGCACATCAACCGTCAGGGAGTGCACAAAAAAATTTCGGCACGCTTACGTGCGCAAAAAGTTCACCCCCCTAGGCTAAACCTCCACTACGTCCCTGTGCTTAGCCTGTATAACGTATATATATAAAGACGAGTTAATAGCGTATATATATAACTAGAAATTCAAGGCGCTTCGCGCCCTTCTTTCTAGGCTTTTAGGGCGCTTCGCGCCCATCTTCTATTTAAATTGTGAACATGTTCTTTTTATATATATAAAGACGAGTTAATAACGTATCTATAAAGACGAGTTAATAACGTATATATAAAGACGAGTTAATAACGTATATATATAAAGACGAGTTAATAACGCATATATATATAAAGACAAGTTAAAAACGTACATATATATAAAGACGAGTTAATAACGTATCTATAAAGACGAGTTAATAACGTATATTTAAAGACGAGTTAATAACGTATATATATAACGGCGAGTTAATAACGCATATATATATATATATAAAGACAAGTTAAAAACGTACATATATAAAGACGTTTCCTCATTATCTCAAGACTTCTGAATCACTGACAATCTGAAGGTTAAGTTTGGTCTTTTGTCCTGAAAATAGGTACTTTTAATGGTAAGTAGAGTTCACAAACATGTTTGAACCAGAGAAGAAAAAAAGAAAAAATGTCCGTGCCATATGAACGTATTTTTACTAAATAAGTTGCAAAGCTATCAAAGTAAAAAACATCTCGTGGTTAAATCTAAATTGACAAATATTTTTTATCAGTTTGCTTGTGTATAGTGTGTATAGTTGAGTACGCATGTTTACAACCATAAGCATCAAAACTATTTATCTCAAAAACTTATTTGGTGAATCATGTGATATCAAAACATTGTTTAGAGATTGACTTGAAGGTACAGGTTAAGCCACAAAAGATGAGACTTAAGAAACGTTGGTAAAGAATTTATTCCGGTCTTTTTTCTTAGATTAAAGGTTTCCTGCAGCTCTATACTATTCTATTTATATATATATCAATTAGTATGTTGCTCAGAAACCACTTGACTGATTTGCCTCAAATTTTGATTGGAGAACTTGGAAGAACCACAAGAATGTTCTTGGTCTGTTTTAAGATTATAAGTTGAGTGGGTCGACTTTTTATAGCAAAACATTTAGTTTCCAGGTAAAATCGACCAAATGCGGGTAAACGGCGGGATAAACTGGTCGCGGGTTTTCAAGCTTGTTTTTACTATTAACAAACTTTAAATTGAAAGCAGAAAGCCAAGTTTAGCTTGCAAATTAACATACCTTAAGAGTTTAAGGTCGTGATTAAAATCTCATCCTGTTCCTGTATGGCTATTGGCTAACCCTGTACGTAAAAAATATTTTATACTGATTTTTTTTTACATTTTCACATTAATTCATGTTTTCTGAAACAACTTGTGTATATAATGTCCTTTTATCTATTTGTATAAGGCATGAAAGGTTTGAATCAACCTACACAATCCTCCCACATTAAAGGGATTGTTCTCGGCATTTTAAATAAACGTTTAAATTTATTAAGTGCCTTGACAGAATCCCAACTTACAGGTATAAAAATTAAAATAAAAAGCAGTTCGTTCTCTCAAGATAGCCATCATATCAAAACTCTTGTCTCGTTGTTCTGACATAAGGTTTTAAAAACATTTTTTTATAATCCCTTTATTTCTTGTATCTTGATCTGCTATCTAAGGAGCTAAGAATACATATTAGGTTTTGTCTTTGCATCTAACAAAAGTACGATTTCCCTGACTTTCAACAAATATTATTCCTCAATCAAAGGGAGTGTTCGCAAAAAATTAAAGGGGGTATAGGCGTACGGCGAAAATAATCGCTTTTGATCGCTACTAATATTACTCCTATCTGTTGCGACTAAAAGGAGAAAATACGACTCGGATAGTAAAAAAAAACAAACAATTTAATTTCAAACAAATCATTCAGATATTACAACCCAAAGTCATCGGTATTTTTCGAAGCATTCTTATATAGTTAATATTTCATGATATTTTTTATTCGTTTTGTATACATTGCACTCAAAATGCCGAAATAGTTGGCAACTAGATGTCTCTGCGCTCGATGCTTTGAATGATTACACGCGGCAGAGAGACACCTAGCGGAAACAAGTCATTTTAAGTGCATTGCATATAAAACAAATAACCCATATTATGAAATATTAATAATACACGAATCAGCAAAAAAAGCGATGACTTTAGGTTGTAAAATTTGAATGGTTTGTTTGAAATTAAATTGATTATTTTACGATACGAATCGTATCTTGCAACTTTCTGATTTTGTATGGACGTTACGAAGTCGTTTCTAACAATGTTCTCGTTACAGACGCAACAGATAGAAGTAAGATTAGTAGCGATCAAAAGCGATTATTTTTCAGAGTCAGCCTATCCCCCCTTTCATTCTTAGCAAACACTCCCTTTAAAGAGCTCGCTTAAATCAAGATATATATATTGAATAGGAACTGCCATATCTGATCAATAAACCTTCCCTGGGGTCCCTAGATGTCCCACAAAAAATTTGGGCCCGATCGGTTCAGCCGTTTTGACGTTTATTGGATACAAACAAACAAACAAACAGACAATCAGACAGACAGACAAGCCAAATTTATATATAGATATATATATACTTCCATATCTTTGTTCATCCTTCATCCTTCACACATTCAACAAGTTATATTGTGATATATATATACTTCGATATCTAGTTCATCCTTCACATTCACATTTAATAAGTTATTATAGTGTATATTTACATACATCTTCGAGCACTAAAAAATAGGCTTATTTGTAAAATTACAAATAAGCCTATATTACAAAGGTAGTTGTTTTTTCAAATGTTGGACAATGCCTTTAATGAGCTTTTAATTATGAGCATTAAAGGGACTGTAATCTAATTTTAAGTGAACCTGCAATGTTCTTTTTACAACGATACCCTTAAACGCGTTGTCTGCTCAAGTACGAATTAGATATCAATGTTTATAATTATGAAAACTAATTATTTTCCATTTTGGTTTCTCCATAAAAGTGACTTGGGTATATCTGCTGCAGGAAAACATATCAGAATTAACAGAATTAAACACATTAAACACAATGTCTTACAAATTTTTGATCAGATAATAGTTTCAATGGTACTGTTGTGAATGGGGCGAAATATAAACTTGAAATAAAAAAGTTCACAATGATTTATTTAATATTTACTGAAATACTGTCACAACACAAGTTTATAAAAATGACTAACCTTTCACAGGTTATGGGAGAACTGGGTTAGTTTACACTGCTTCAAGAGAATACAACACTCAATTTGCGTACATTTGAAATAGGAGTTCCTTGGCTTTTAGAGACGACCAAAATATCTTTTCTGATCTTTGATAGCTTGCTTTTGAAAAAATGTGAATAAAAAATATTACAAGACCTAAAAGTTTTCCAGTTTGTGGAGCGCCCTCTGTTTATAATTAGTAAAACCTTTTTTCAATTTATATCTACAACATATTAATATCCGATGATACACAGATTATTTTCA